ATTAAAAATAAAATATATATTTCAAAAATATTTAATTTTAAAGTTTAATTCATTATTTAAAAATAAATTTAAATAAAAAATAAAGAATAAATTAATTAATAATACTCTAAATACTTTATTAAAATAATTAATTAATTAATTAATTAATATTGAAATTTACCAATTAAAAATTAAATCCATGAAACTTCAATTAAACAATTTTAAAAAACATTTAGTTACATCACTAATATTAAAAAATTTAAATAATTAATTAATAACTCAAACCAATAATTAACCAATTAAACATTTAATAATTAAAAAATAATAATTAATAACTAATTTATTAATTAAATAATTAGACACTTAATTGAATCCATGAAATCTTTTCTATTTCAACTAAGTGTGCTCTAAAAGATGAATTTTTAAATAAATAACTCACCAAAATACTTTTCTAATTCAATTAAATGAACTCTAATATTCCTTATTTTTAAGTATAGAAAAAGCTCGAAGGATATTCTCCATAAATGAATCTTTGAAAGAATTTAATTTCAAATCACTTTAAGGGTCCTTTAAAACATAAAACTTCTTAGTAGAATTTTTTATTGTTCGGAACCACCTTAGATCTCAAAAGCTTTTTATCTAAATGATTAAATATGGCATTCAAAGAATAATATACTCTCTCAAAAGATAGAGACGTTACCTTAGAATTGATTCTATCATTTGGACAAGAGAAATCTCTGGAATATATGGATATATGGAACCAGGATTTCTCAAGTATATTACAAGTGTAAGATTAAGTTCATTTTAATTTTGGGATCTCGCTCCCTACAAGTTCAAGCCCTTGTAGTTAATTACATCATTAGAGTTAAGAGCACTAAAAAAACTCTTGATTAAAGTGATGAGTCAAATCATCAGAGATCAAACTGTCATAATTTGAATGAGAGTCCAAATTTTATGAATTGTGTTCAAAAGCATAATGTTTACAGCCTGATGACAACGTATCAAAAGAAAGGTCCAAGATTTGATGAAAAAAGTATGGTGTTGAGTTTGAATTAATCAAATAGAGTCAAATGATAAATCAGGGATACTAGATTTAACCGATAGATATGTTTAGAACCCTAAGCTAAGGATAAAGTCATGTAGGAAAGGATTTCTGGATGAGAAGTAAAACCCTAGACTTTATTAAAAATTCTATAGACTAACTAACCAAGATTTTTGGAATAAAGTCCCCATTTAAGATACCCATGACTTTCCTTTGTCTTAGGATCATTAGTATATGTTGATTATAACCAACCTCATGATGAGGAATCCCTTTTAAATATCAGAGCATGATGAATTTGTATTTTTATGGCAATCTAAAATACCTTGATCGGTAACTGAAACACCTAAAATATATAGTATTTTTAGACACATTTTTATACCTTTTTTTGAGATATTGCACTTTAATAGAAGTTATTTTTGTGTTTCTCTTGTAGATACAAGTAAAAATGAAAAAAAAATGCTTAAAGGAGTGACAAAATGATCAAATTTGGAACAAAAATGTGAAAAATTGTGCAAAAGAGTTTTGGCGCCTAACCGCCGGTTAAATAGAGAAGGTCGCACCTAAGCACTGAGACCCCATGCTTAAGCGTCAGTGGTAGTTACTAGAAGACTAAAATGGGTTTTCATGAATTTTGCAGAGGTTTTTGAGGCATCCATTGGCTTAATAGGTGGTTGTAACCACCATGGACGAAAATTATCATGAAAGGATGCGTCTCTTGGGCAAATACATCGAATCAAGACACATTTTGAAGAGATCCCAAGACACCTCTTGGAAAACTATAAAAGAAAGAAGAGAGGACTTAGAAAAGAGTCCTGAAAATATTGGCAAGTTTTGAAAGTTCTTTTCTGGGGAGTTAGTTCGGAGAGATTTTCAGGAAACCAGTTTGTATTTACTTTATCCTTTTTGTTATTTTGTTTTGAGTGATTGTAAAAGAAAAGAGGTTCAAAGGAACTTCAAGAGTTTGGTGGAGGACTTGAGATAAGTTTTTATCTTTTTTTTAGACTAATTTTGATTTTAATTGAGACTTGTTGTTGGTTTGACAATGATTTCTTATTTTAAACTAAAGTGTGGTTTTATGTTCTCCATGGATTATGTGTAGTTTTCTTTATCTTTCTTCTTAAAATGATAAGTAATTAAGTTTTGGAGGGAAGTTGTGGAGAGTATTGATCTTTAATGTTGGAAGAAGTTGTGATGATTTACATCCATGCACTTCATTTACTTCTTGATTTGGCCTATACAGGTATTAAAATTTGTTATGAGAAGATGTAAGAACCGGGCTGGTATTGTCTCAATCAACAATTGGAAAGAATCACATGAGGTTATATGAATGAGAATGTAGTTCATATGATTGAGTGCAAATAAATAGGGAAACATTCATTGATGGGTGTAGAGTTAGAGGACTTTAAAGTGACAGGTTAAAGCCCCCAACTTGGTTTATTATTTTAGTTCTTTATAGCATCTCTAATAAGGATAAAGAATATTATTGCTCCTATTTGACACAACAAAATTCCTATACTTGTTACTAATTCATGATAAGAAGAAAGATATTTTCATATTAAGTATTTTTCTTCTACAAAAACTTTAGTTATCTTTTTAAGTTACTGTTTATCAAAAATACTAAAAATATTTTAAATTTTAAATTCCTGCAAAAATCATTTCTAGTTTAAGTAATTATCTCTTTAAAAGTAATTTCATTTACTTCTGGGAATTTTCTAGTTAATTTATCATTTCAAATTTAAACATTCCTCATGGATCGAGATTCAGGTCTTAATCAAAAAGTCATATATTATTTCATAACGATACGTATACTTGCGTAGTATCCCAATAAAAATATATATAAATTAAAAAATTA